AAGGATCCATTGACATAATAGCGTTAAAAACATTAAAGTACCATAATTTAAACATCATGTACAACTTTACAAGCACAAAAAATACAAATATACTTTAAGAATAATATAACTATCATTGATTCTTATAAGTTAAAGTTAGATTAGATAATAGAAATGGATAATCCAGAATATTACTGTCCAATTGCATGGAACAGAATGTTGTCTTGAACAGTCGACAATAATATTTTAGATCATCCCAACGGCAATGCTCCCATATACACAATGTGTGGCTATCACAAATAGTCACAAGGTAAAGATAGATAAACAATGATCGATCAAGGTGGTAAGAAATTTTAATTTCAGATCAGACTAATTTATGATTAAAAAAAATTTCTAAACTACCATCTACATTTTCGTTCGATCAGTAATCGATTAAGCGTGTGCTTCTTTTGAGAGTAATTAATATTTAAAGAAGAAAGATAAAAATAAATTTGTTATACCTTCCTTTCATCGTCCCCTGATGTATTACAGAAAGCAAAACTAGGCACAGATTGAAGAACAAAAAGAAAATGGAGGTATTGGGGTTACCCATTTTTTCGTAATAATAACTCTAAAATGTGATGGAATTAAGTCAATAAATAAATGAAATGGAATGCATATGAACTTAATATCTTGCGATTTCATACTATAAATGATTTATATGAATTAAATAAGTCCATAAATGGTTAGCGTCAAATATGGCATAGACCCTATAAAATTAATTTTATATATGTGAACTTTGTTCAAAGTGAATCTAGATATATAATCATATAAAATTAAGAGAAAATGATTAAATAGGCCCTCAAACTTTACCAAGAAAGGTTAGGATTAACTTCTCAATTAATCCCAATTAAAATTTAGATTTACGAGGTGTCACAGTGTTCAATCGGATTTTGTTCTTCATTCACTCCTTATCCTATAGGTGGTTGGTTCACATGAGTTGGTGTCCCTCCTTGTTGGTTTGGTGGTGTGTGCATATTAGAATTTCATCCTTGAGCCGCTCGTTGTGTATGATTTCTTCCACTTGAAGATGCCATATCATGCAATAGAATCGGTCCTCGTGTTGTTCGTCTTCGGATTGCTTTGTTAATCTCGAGTTCAAAGGCCAAAAGTCCTATGTTCCTCTTTGATATCTTGTGTGCATTCAATCCTAAGAAAAACGGGTCAACAAACTTTCTCGTCACAACTACAAGTAGTTGGTGAGGGTGAGTACAAACATAATGAAATGCAATAAAAACAAAGAAAAAGTAACAAGCATTCAAACAACGAACAAAGTCTAACTTCCAACTAGAAACAAATGGCTAAAACGTAATGCCATCCCCGCCAACGACACCATTTTTGATGTCATTTTCTTTTCGGTTGGTTTGGTTATATTAACAAGTGTGGGAGAAATGAATGAGTGTAAAGAGAAATGGTGCCAGAGAATGATGAGTGTTGGGTTTGTAGGTAAAGCATTTGGAGAAGATGCAATCGACACAGCGCGAGCGTGGTTGCCGGAGTGTGGTTCCATGGAAGAGAAAGATGCCGAACTCAAAGTGTGGGTTAAGCAAGTACGAAGTGAATAAACAAATGAAATGACAAAATTGACCCTGGTAAATCGGAGGTCTAACCGGAGTGTTGCCGGAAAACGGACGGAGGGACTAAAATGACTAAAAAGAATTATTTTCGGGGACTAAATCGATGATTAAGGAATTAGAGGACTACATTAACAGTTTGGCAATAATTGAGGGACCAAATCGTTGATTAACTCGAATATATATAATATTCAATTATATATTTCTCATGCCTAATATATCATATAAGATATATCTTATGGAAGTTGAGGTTTTGAACTCCTATAACTTCCATGTAACTTCTCCAAACTGCTTTGTTTGCATCTATAAATATTTGGAGAAATGTCTGAAAAGAAAAATATGCAATAAACTTGCATAAGACTGAGATATTTCACAGTGCATTTCTACAGGAAATTCTTAAACAAAGCAACTTAAAATTTCATCATCTTCTTGTATCCCATAAGATTAAATCTTGAACCTTGTTGCTTCAATTGAGGGAGATTTAAAGCTTATAGGAAAGTGATTACACGCATGAAGATCTCGTTTCCACTTCCCTATTCTCAAACACTCCATATTTCTAACACAATGTACACTTGAATCAATAGGGTCACCAAAATCAGAATAATTGACTGTTGCAACAAATAAAAAGTATTTTTAGAATTTTGGTTAACAACTTTTATTAAAAAACCCGAAATCTATATTTCATCCAAAAAAACATTTGTACTTGCGAAACTAACCAACTGGAATATTATGTGTGATTTGCTCATGTTCTGCTTCATTGAACTCATTGTGTAGGTTTCGACATTCCGTTGAATAATCACTCCTAATATGTGTTAACTGGCTTGTAATCTTATGGTTGATCGGTTCGGTAGTGAGTTGGCTCCCTATTTATAATAATCGTATAAAAATAAATAAGTCATAACTTTCAAGAATTTTGTTACTTGAATGGTTAAATAAAATATATGATTCGTAAATGACGTACTTGATACTCTATTCGTTTATAAGTATCATGTGTATTCAGTGAGTCAGATACTGAATGTTTTTGCGCTCCGCCTGTTTTGGAAAGAAGAATATTAGATTGAATATAAAGCATTGTACTCATTCTCTTGTACTTTTATGTTCCAAAAGAACACACAATTACAATAATTATAAACATGATTCATTATGTGAAGTTGTGAACTAAACTAACCAGAATTCAATATAGTACTCGGAATAGCAATTGATGGTTGTACAATGTCACCATTTTTTTCATGAAGTCTATTTTCACCATTGTATAAAGTCTAAAATGTTCATTGTTGTTGTCAGACATCAATTTTAGGTTAAAAAGGGGGAGGGGCAATTTTGTCTCATCATTATCTTTTTTTTTTCTTCCTAAAATCCATAGACTTAAAATCCCAAGGTAGACATGATTTTAATTCCATGAAAATGAGGGAATTACAATTCTGTGGAATTGCAATTCCTTCCAACCAAACTAAGGAATTTAGTGGCCTTTGGAATTAGGTAGGAATTAAGTTGGAATGAAATTGACGTACAATTGTATTAAGGTTAGGAAAGCCTTTCAAAAAAAAAAGTTAGGAAAGTATTATATTTGTATAGGTAGAATTGTACCCGCACGGGCTTAGCTCAATGGTTCAGTGGGCAGACTTTGGGAGAAGAATTGTATTACGAATAGAAAATTATATGTACTGTAATTCGAATCTAAATTATATATAACCGATTGTTTCCAAATTTTTTTATGCAAAATTTTCCGTAATAAGTAGTACAATAATGCGTAGAAATAAATATTGAAGAAATGGATTCTTGAATTACCAATTCTTCCTTTTATGCAAAATCTTCCATTTAATTTCAAAATTTAAGGAAAAAATAAGATTCTTGCTTTATTTGTTTTCCATCTTTACACAAAATCTTCTTAATAAATTCTAGATATTACTGATTGTTTTTCATTTTCACTTTTTCAGCGAAATATGCATATTATTATTAAGTTCTTGGCGGTAATTATTAATATCCCCTTTATTTTCATTATTTTCGCACAATCTTTCTTATAAATTCTTTATATTACTGATTCTTTTTGCATTTTCCCTTTTTAAGCGAAATAACATAATTATTATTACGATTAAGAATGGGAAGTTAAAAAGAAGGATTTTATTTTTATTAATAATATAGATGATTGATATGTAAAATTTTTTTAAAATATTTTATTATTTTATAATCACTTTCAATCTAATATAGTTACATGATACAGAGTTTTATATATATAATTTTTCAATTTTAATATTGTTATATTGTATTTCTACCAAAAAAATATTGTTATATTGTATTATGAATAGAAATTTTAATGTAGAATTGTAGTACGAATATGAAAGTATGAAACAATATATTCTATTAGAAATTGTATTACACTATTTTTCAATATTAGAATAGTAATTTGAATGTAAGATTGTAGTAGAAATAAGAAATTTAATAACAATATATTCTATTAGGAATTGTATTACACTATTTTACAATATTACACAAACATTAATAGTATGTGATTGTTTTGGGCAAAAAGTTAAAATGAATGATTTTTTTTATTAATAGTATATAGATTTTGCAAAATCTATTAAGTACTAAATTTAAAATTTCTCATTATTTATCTAATATAGTCTTGAAAATAATATTTTCAATGAATTAAAAAAAAAAGGGAAAAACCAATATGATCATTGATGGGGTGAGGACCCCGCCCCAAGAAGGATTGGCCCAAGAGTAGGATCCAAGGTAAAGGACGTGGGCCAGCGTCGAAAGAGGCCCGGCGAGTGCTTGGGCCGAGCCCAGGGGTCGGGCGAGGCCCGGGCCCAAGATATTCAGCTCGAAGCCGTTGAAGAAGCCCGGGGAGATCTTGGGCCGAGTCAGGGAGTCGGCCAGGGCCCAAGCCAGAGAAGAGACTCGGTTCGAGGGCCGTTAAGAGAGTTTTGAAAGAGCTTCATTCAAAAAAAGAGCCCGGCCCAGGAGCCATTGAAGGCATTGAAGGCCGGACTCGGTCAAAACATTATAAATCCATAAGAGCCGTTGGTCGGTCTGGTAACGGCGCCCAACGGCTCGACGGTTGTAATTAGCCTTGAAGTCGACCATTAATGGCCTTCAAGTCGGTAGAGGGGGAGCCTGCTATATAAAGGCTCCTCCACCCTTGTAAAAGGAGACAAGTTGATACCCGGAGAAGGGAGAGAGACTTAAGATCATTACGAACGTTCTATTTCGCTTACGACTTATTTGTGAAAGGTGCATCCACCAACCAAGGTTGTGTTGGACCTCCCTGGGCCCGAAAACCCAAAAACCAACACTGGCGCCGTCCGTGGAGATCGAAACTAAGAGTTGCGTGGCCCTCTGAGCGAGGCGAGTCCGAGAAACGACCGGAAGAGTCTCAGTCGTCAAGCGATCAAAAAAGCTTCTAGCATGGCAGGAGACCAGGAACAATTGAGTCACCACGACAACGGACTGGGGGCAGATTTGAGGGACCAGTTGAACCAGCGAAATGCTCAGAGCCGGGAGTATGAAACAGCACCGCCGGTGACACCACCGATGGACCGACAGCCGCCTCAGGTGCAGCTCACCTCGGAGCAACTCCACGCGATCGGACGTGCCTTCGCCGAGGCAAGCCGGGAGGTGAGAGAACAATCCGTCACTCGACCACCACACCGCAACCTACAGCCGTCTCATAGGCCGGAGGGCCGGTAACAAAATCGACGGGCTGAAAGTCAACCAGTACAATCCGTCCACTCCAGGCTGGGCCCGAATGCCGGACGACGGTCGGCGAGAGAACGACTGGGACGAAAGGAACCCAGCCGTGCACCGGCGGGTCCTCGAGATCAGGAAGCCGGTCGCGAAAGAACTCGCACCCGAAGGACTAGAACTCGGGTTCGCCGTACGGAGCAACCTGCCCACAATGAGGACCGACCGGTCGAATCAGAAGTCGGCGAAAGTACAGAGTCAACAGGAAATCATACCCGGGACAGGGGCGAAGTAGCGCACCTAGCCCAGGAAGTGCGAAATCTGAAAGAACAGGTAGAGGGAAAGACCAAATCCCCAGGTCGAACGCTGTTGACCGCCTTGCCCTTCTCAACCGAGATCATGGCATTCAAGATACCGGGTGACTTTAAGTTCCTGGAACAAGCCACGTTCGATGGATTCCGGCGATCCTCGAGAACACTTGCTGAGCTACCAAGCCAAGATGCAAGTCTTGGGGGTCCGGGACCCTGTCATGTGCCGCGCCTTCCTACCCACGTTAAAGGGCTCGGCACATAGATGGTTAGTGGCGCAGCCTCCAGGGTCGATTCATAGTTTCAAGGAGTTGGCGGATCGCTTTATGAGCCATTACGCGGCCAATATCAAGCCGCAGAAAGACCTAACACACTTGGGCAACATCCACCAAGAAGAAGGAGAGTCTTTGAAGGCCTATCTGGCTCGCTGGCAGAAAGAAATCCAGTCTATCGAGGAGGTCGAGGACCAGACTGTGCTCACCTTCTTCATCGAGTCCTTGCGGTCCGGGCAGCTATACCGGGATCTGCGAGACAACCGCACGGCCACCTACGCGGAAGCCGTACACTTGGCCAACAAGAGGGCCAACACGGAGCAGGCTATGAAACACAAACGACAACGCGAAGTCGGAGGGTCCGCCAGTGGGAAGAGAACGCGAGCCGAGACCAAGGAAAGGCTCCCAGAAGTGACCCGGCGACCCGAAGCCAGGCGGCCATACGACCGGCCCGTCGTGCACCCATACCGGCCGGTCCCCGAACAGCCAGTGCACGAAATACAAGCAGTCGCCCCGCCTGTGCCGACTGACGACCACGCGGTAAGCGATGATACAGGTAAGACCTCTAAATACTGTCGCTACCACAAATCTTACACCCACAGCACGGAAGAGTGTTTCTACTTGAAGAAGATCATAGAGGCTATCATCCAACAAGGGACCCCGCCCCCTAACCAGTGGAGGCGAAGATCGGCGAACCGGGAGGATCGAGACCCCGCCGCCGCCGCGGAGAGCGGTCGGGGCAAGCAGCCGGCTACTGAGGAAGATGAGGCACAGTGGCTTCAGAAGCCGGTTATCAACATGATAGTCGGTGAACCGGAAGGCGGTGACTCAGCAAACACTCGAAAGGCCTGGGCTCGGCAGTTGTATGTCGGGACGGCGTACGGGCGTGAGGAGAGCTTCAAGAAGGTATGCCGGGAGCCCATCACTTTCACTGACAAAGATTTACCCACAGGAGAAACACCGCACCGCGACGCGCTGGTCATAGCGATGGATATCAGTGGGGTAGTCGTTCGCCGGATCCTGGTTGACACCGGAAGCAGCGTCAACGTGCTATACCTCGAGACTTTTACCAAAATGGGACTGACCCGAGAATAGCTAAATCCAGTTAAAACGCCACTCGTCGGTTTCATAGGGGACTCAGTGGAGGCGGAAGGATCCATTACTCTGCCAGTAGAAATTGGCAGTTACCCCGACGTGCAGAAGCTTAGCATGAAGTTCATCGTGGTAAACCTAGCCTGCTCACACAACGCTATACTCGGTCGACCGGGCCTGGAGGATCTAGGAGCTTTGATTTCCATCGAGCACCTCTACCTGAAATTCCGCACACCGAGTCGGATAGGCACAGTGCGTTGCGACCGGAGAGTCACCCGCGACTGCTATCTGCAAGCCTGCAGAGGGATGGGCAAGCGTGAGATGCAGGTCCACGAGATCACGGAAAGGCCCCGAAGAAGGCGATGATACCTCGCCCCGAGCCGGCCGTGGAATTGGAGGAGGTCGAGATCGATCCTGATCAGTCGGACAGACGGGTCCGAATTGGGGTCGGCCTCCCTGAGGAGATACGAGAAGGAATCATAAAAGTGCTCCGAGAGCACCGGCTAGTCTTCGCCTGGGGACCGGAGGACATGCTCGGTGTCGACCGATCCATTATCGCCCATCTACTCGCCGTGGACCCTGACCATCGGCCAGTCGTACAGAAGAAGTGATATCTCGCTAATGATCGGAGGGAGTTTGTAAAGAAGGAGGTAAGCACGCTGCTGGCCGTGGGTCACATCCGAGAGGTTAAGTACCCGGAGTGGTTGGCAAACGTGGTTCTCGTACCTAAGCCCCCGGCTTGGCGGATGTGCGTCGACTACACCGACCTCAATAAGGCCTGCCCTAAAGACCCATTCCCCTTACCTCGGATCGATCAGTTGGTCGACGAAACCGCAAGGTCAGCCCTACTGAGCTTCATGGACGCATTCAGAGGGTATCATCAAATCTTCATGCACTCGGCGGATGAGGAGAAGACCGCATTTCTAGCACCAGACGGAGTGTACTGCTATCGAGTCACACCCTTTGGACTTAAGAATGTCGGGGCTACTTACACTCGAATGGTAGCCCGGCTATTCCAAAACTTGCTAGGAAAATCCATGGCCGCGTACGTGGATGACATGCTCGTCAAGAGCCGGGAGGAGAGCAAGCATGCGGGAGATCTGGCCGATTGCTTTCAAGTGATGCTAAGATATAATCTCCGGTTGAATCCCAAGAAATGCGCCTTCGCAGTACAGGGTGGAAAGTTCCTGGATATATGGTCACCAAGCGAGGCATCGAGCCTAATCCTGAGAAGGTCCAAGCCATCATCGACATGCAGCCTCCTAGTACCGTCAAAGACCTACAACGGTTAACTGGTCGACTGGTTGCCCTCAGTCGCTTCCTGAGCAAGGCGGCGGACAAAACTATACCCTTCTTCGAGGCCATGAAGAAGAAGGAAGGCTTCGCCTGGACCACCGAGTGCCAACAATCGTTCGAAGAATTGAAACAGTATCTTTCAACGCCTCCGGTGTTGTCCACTCCCCAGGTGGGTGAACCTTTATTTTTATACTTGGCCGCCTCCTCCAAGGCGGTGAGCTCGGTGTTAGTTCGAGAAGAGGAGCCTGCCCAGCACCCGGTGTATTACGTGAGCCGCACCGTCCGAGTACTGACCGACCAACCGCTGGGGAGCGTCTTGCGGAACCCCTCGTCGTCCGGCCGCCTGGTGAAGTGGGCCGTGGAATTAACCCAGTACGGGATCGAATATCAGCCACGACCTTCCATAAAAGGTCAAGCCTTAGCAGACTTCTTGGTCGAGTGCACGGCGGGAGAGGAAGAAAAAGAATGCACCGCGGAAGACAGTTTAGGCGAATGGTGGGAGATGCATGCGGATGGAGCGGCAAGTCGACAACACTGTGGAGGCGGAGTCATGCTCATCACTCCGGAAGGATTCCGACTGTATTACGCCCTGAGCTATCTGTTCCCGACGTCCAATAACGAGGCCGAGTATGAGGCTATGCTGAATGGCCTTCGACTCGCCAAAGCGCTGGGAGTAGAACGATTGCGAATCAAAACTGACTCCAGGTTAGTAGTCGGGCAGATCTCCGGCACATGTGAGGCTAAGAACGCCCGGATGACCCTGTACAAGGAGAAGGCGGTCGAGATGTTAAAAGAGCTCGGGGCCTACGAAATATAATATATCTCCCGGACAGACAACGTAGAGGCCGACATATTGTCCAAGATCGCCTTGGAAGGGATACCAGATCACCTCATTAAGATTTGCCAGAAGGAATAGTTGAGCCGGCTGAGTATCGAGGAGACGCCATTGGAAGTCCAGCAGGTGAGTTGTGAAGAGTGGGACCGAGAGAAAAACCCCGAGATGTTCTGGATCGAGGACATCCGACGGTTTAAGGAGACGGGCGAATTGCCGGAAGACCAAGGAGTCGCCGCTAGGGTTCGACGGAAAGCCCCTTCGTTCCAAATCATCGAGGGGCAGATGTACAAGCGGTCATTCGGAGGCCCTCTTTTGAAATGCCTGCTCAGGCCCGAGGCCGAGAAGTTAATGGACGAAGCTCATAGAGGCATTTGCGCCGCCCACCAGGGTGCTCAGACGCTTGCTCGGAAGCTAGTCGTCCATGGATACTATTGGCCGACCATGATGCGGGATTGCATCGAGTGGATAGCAAAATGCGGCGTTTGCCAAGCCTTTGCCAGGAAGGACACCCGGCCGGCTACCTTCTACACACCGGTCACCGCAGCCATCCCTTTCGCCAAGTGGGGGATCGACTTGTTGGGACCATTACCGGTTGCACCCGGAAGCTTGAAATTTTGCGTCGTGGCTATCGACTACTTCACTAAGTGGGTCGAGGCTGAGCCACTGGCCACCATCACTGAGTATCAATGCCGACGCTTCGTATGGAAGAAAGTGATTTGCCGTTTTGGCCTGCCTGAGCATATTGTTAGCGATAACGGTCGACAGTTTGACTGTCAAGCATTCGCCGACTTCTGTCGACGACACGCTATCCGTCACACCAAGGTATCCGTTGCATATCCCCAGGCCAACGGACAAGTCGAGAACGCGAATCGGACCATAGTGGACGGGATCCGAAAGAAGTTGGAGGACATTGGAGGAAATTGGGCGGATGAGCTTGACCGAGTCCTATGGGCTTATCGTACTACGCAGCGGCGAGCGACCGGTGAAAGCCCATTTTCCCTAGCATACGGCTTCGAAGCCAAGGTTCCGATAGAAGTCGTAGAGCCCACCCACCAGGTCCGCAGTTATTCCGACGTGGAGAATGAGGAGAGCCTTCGAATTGAGAAGAACTTCTTAGAAGAAAGAAGGGAAGCCGCCGGCGCCCGGATGGTCGAGTACCAACAGGCCGTAAAAAGGTATCATGATATAAGGATTCGCCCACGAACCTTTCAGGTCGGAGATCTCGTGTTACGAGACCGGCAGGCAAGCCAACCCACGGAAGGGGGCAAGTTCGCAGTCAAATGGGAAGGACCGTACCGTATTGCCGCGGTAGTCCAGGCCGGCACTTACAAGCTCGAAACCTTGGAGGGCGAGCCCGTGGATCGGATCTGGAACGTCATCCATTTGAAAAAGTTCTACCAGTAGAAGAGGCTAGCTGTGTATAGGCACCTGCATTTCAAAACTTGAATAAAAGAGCACGGATTATTGCCGATTATCGCAGGGACTCGGCGAGTATATAAAGAAACAACGGGGCACTGACCCTAAACCGTTTCTCAGAAAAGAAAAAGCCTAAGGGATCGCCTCGACTGAGGGACTCGGCGAGAGAGTTAGGAAACAAGGGCCCAGACCCTTAGTCGTTTCCGCGAAAAAGCCAAGAGGAGTCGCCTCGACTGAGGGACTCGGCGAGTATATAAAGAATCAACGGGGCACTGACCCTAAACCGTTTCTCAGAAAAGAAAAAGCCTAAGGGGTCGCCTCGACTGAGGGACTCGGCGAGAGAGTTAGGAAACAAGGGCCTAGACCCTTAGTCGTTTCCGTGAAAAAGCCAAGAGGAGTAGCCTCGACTGAGGGACTCGGCGAGTATATAAAGAAACAACGGGGCACTGACCCTAAACCGTTTCTTAGAAAAGAAAAAACCTAAGGGGTCGCCTCGACTGAGGGACTCGGCGAGAGAGTTAGGAAACAAGGGCCCAGACCCTTAGTCGTTTCCGCGAAAAAGCCAAGAGGAGTCGCCTCGACTGAGGGGCTCGGCGAGTATATAAAGAAACAACGGAACACTGACCCTAAACTGTTTCTCAGAAAAGAAAAAGCCTAAGGGGTCGCCTCGACTGAGGGACTCGGCAAGAAAGTTAGGAAACAAGGGCACAGACCCTTAGTCGTTTCCGTGAAAAAGCCAAGAGAAGTCGCCTCGACTGAGGGACTCGATCAAGAGCTAGACCATTTTAGAAGAGTCAGATGCCTTAGCAATTTTTTAGTTTAAAGGATCGCGAAGTAGTTAAAGAAAAGATCGAGGCCAAGACAGTCCAGAAGAAGCAGAAAGAAGGAATTTTTATTAAAAATTAAAAGGCCCGAGAGGGAGGCCGACCTTTTACAAAAAATGACTATCTCAAAAGATTAGCCCTAAGCTACGGGGGAGGGGGTGTCGACATCGACCCCTTCAACTGGGGCTCCTGACGTTGGTCCAGCTGGGAGAACATGAGAAGGGTCCTCTGCCTGAGGGGTGGACTCGGTGGGCGTCGCCGGAAGGGCCGCCGGGTCAACGGTCGCCGCAGGTCCTTCAGTCGCTGGAAGGAGATCTATCACTGGCTTAAGGCCCCAGCTCTCGGGTGTGAAGGAGGGGTCGCGAGCCAGCAAAGAAGAATGGATTTCCGTTTCCGCCTCGCGGAAACCCAAGCGATAGTCGCGCTCGCCCAGATCCAAGAGATAGTCGTCTCCCGCCGGCGATGCCAGCCATTCCTTGGCGATTTCCTCCTGCCTGGCCGCAATCGCCGCCTTCACATCCGCTTCAAACGCCGCGGACTTCTTGTAATCCTCCACGGAGGTTGCGGCAATCGTGGCGACTTTGTCACGCTCCTCCTCCCACTGCTTGGTCACTCTCAGCAGCTCGGAATTGTGCACCTCCACCGACTTGGCGTGCTTGGCCAACTCCTCCAGGCGAGCCTCTTCCGACTGACGCAGGCAACCCGCCACAGAATTCATCGTAGTCCTATAGCCCCTCAGCCGTTTCCTCAACTCCAACTGAAAGGTCAGATTCTGCAAAATCGCCAAGAAGTTAGCAGAGGAAAAGAAGGAAAGTAAAAAGGATGAGGAGTCGGACACTTACGCGATACGACTGGCGGAGCGAGGCCTCCAAGATGTACTCATCCTGCATGGAGCTGGTCGTCTCCAGATCCTTGGGCAGAAGAACATGCTCGGCCCAGGTTTTAACCGACGAGTTGCCTTGCCAGATCCGAGCATCCTCGTCAAGCTCGATGCCGAGGCGGATCCTCTTTGGAGCCGGCGTGTCCGAGTGCTCTGCTGGCCGCTTTGAGCTTGGGCTCTCGGATGGAGGAGGAAGAGGCGGTTGTCGAGAAGGGGAAGCAACTGGAGACGGCGTCAAGTCCACCACGGTCCTCGGTGGTGGCGGAGTCGACCTCGGGGCCGAAGACGGTTGGGATGAGGAGGCAGCAGCAGCGCCGGAGGCGCGTTGAGTCAAGCGACGCCTCATCTTCTCAGCTCTGTCGGCCATCTCGGGAGTCGGAGCTACAGCCTCGTCGGAGCTGGTGGAGTCGGAATCGTACGGGCCTGGGAAAGAAAGGAAACAACATAAGTGATCCTAGTCGGAACAGAATAATACAAAAGAAAGCAGAAAGGGAGAGGCGATAGAAAGCTACCTATGGTGGCCGCACCGTCCGGCAGCAGGCCACGTTTGGCCATGGCCCGGACCCGGGACCAGTACTTGACGGAGTACAGCCCCTAGCTCTTCAAGAACTCACCGCCCTGGATCGCATCTTGAGTGAAGACGGCGCGCCGAGAGCAGGGCTTGAATAGAGAGGCCGGCCACAGGGTCGGAAAGGTGAAGGAAGTGAAGGCGGGACGAACGAAGAAATAGAAGGGCTTCCAATCCTTGATGGAATCAGACAGACCTTCGAAAAGCTGCCGCCCAGGACGAGCGGCAACCTGGACAAAGCCCGGCGAGTGCGAGCCAACCTTGTTCACGGTAAAAAGATATCGAAACAGGTCCAGATCCGGCTCGCACATCCATCAATGGCAGAGGTTTATGATGCAGGTGAGGAGGCGGTGAGAATTGGGCACTAACTGACCCGGGACCAAATTATAATGGCGGTAAAAGAGAGAAAGGAAGGGACAAAGAGGCACTCGGAAGCCAAAGGCGACCGAGTGCAAGTGAATACCAACACAACCCTCTGGCGGGTCATAGATGGGCCGGCATTCCGGGGCAAGGACTACGACGGAAGGCCCGAGAAGAAAACGGGCCACATCCAGGTCCGCCGCTGAAACTTGCGACGGGAACCCTGCCGGCCGGACGATGGAATCAAACTTGCCTCGCGGCCGTCCGGCGCCGTCAGGCAAAGCGGCCACCGTCGTGAGAGGGGCGGGGATCATGGGAGTAACCGCCCCCGAAGAAGAGTGGGTCGGCTGAGATAAAGACGCCGATGGGAAGCCCGCCGGAATTTCCATGCGACGAGGACTGGAAGAAGAAGAAGAAGAAGAAGAAGACGAAGAGGTCGCCGCGGGGTTCTCCGCCGAGCGACGGAGAAAGGAAGAAGAGTCGGAGGAAGAAGACATTTACCAACCTGAAATATTGACTGGGGAAAAGGCAGAGAAAACCGGAGGAGCTTAGCGCTGAGTGAGGAAAAACGGAGGAAAGTGAAGAGAAGAAGAAGGATACGGCTATTTAAAAGAGGGGGAATCCCAAAGGGTGGCCACGTGTCACCCCCTCATTGAAGGAGAGAAGGGTGACAAGAGGTGAAAAGACGCCGTAATTAATGCCTCGGAAAACGGGGTGACGGTTCAGACCTGGGACTAGCCTGCAAGCGGCGTCTACCCTAGGCTAGAGCCGGGTGGCAGTGACCCGGCCTGCTAAGTCTGAAGCCCATTGTAGGCCACGGCCTCTGGGCCCACTGGATCCGGGTTGGAAGTTTCCAGAAAAACCCGATGAAATCCGGCCCTTCAATTAACGCGAGCAAGGCTCACGAAGAGATTCTGGTCTCAGAGTCGAACACTCCGACTCGGCGACCCCTCAACGAGAAAGGCCCCGTTGGGGAAGGACCGGAAGTCGGTCAAGGAGTGCATAAAAGCAAAGCCAGACGAGAAAACACACAAGTTTATTCAATAAGCACGGAAAAGTACAAGGTCAAGAACTCGGCCGAATACAAGTTACAGGAGAAAAAACAGATCAGGGCTTGGCTTCCTTCTCCTCTGAAGGGCGAGCAGGCGGAGGACCCTTCAAGAAGTACTGGGGGCGAAAAGGCAGAGGACTCGGCTCAGGTTCCGACATCTCATCCAGGTACACAGCCGGCTTCCCGTCATCGATCATTTGCAAATGCCTCTCTAGGGCGCTCGGAGACATGGCCACGCCAAAGAGCGGAGGAACCTCCCACACTTCTTCCTCCTCTGGTTCCGGATCCTCCACCACCGGTTCCATCTCTACGTCGACCGGCTCCACAAGCATCAGGTCCAGCACGTCCGGAGGCACCACGATCGGGTCTGAAGTCGAGTCGCCCACCAAACGCCCTCCATTTGCCAACCTCTTCTGCTTCAACTTCTCTAGACGAGCGTGCTCATTGTTGCGGATGGACCAGCGGCGGTCACCGTCCCTGTGACTCATGGTTTGGCGTTTTTAGAAATGAGAACAATGTGACCCGCAAAGTCACAGAGGGTCCTTATATAGCCCTAAGGGAGCGATTACCCAGGCGGAAATCACGGAGGGAATCGTAACTGACATGCCTGAGCCGGACTAGACCGGTGGTGCAAATCTCTGTCAGAAGTTAGTTCCATCAAATCTGCTTGGGAAGGGTGCGATTCGCACGCTAAGCTGAAAAGGTTAGATTCACCCAAGATATGGGGAATCTTGCAGACGTCAGGCCAGAAAATGACCTGACGATATGACCGACTCCTCGACAAGTCGGCCAGGAAGAGACGTAACAAGCACGGAACGCAGAATGAAGCATGAAAAATACCATTTTATTAAGAGAAGAGAGGTACAATGAGTAGGGAGCTTATTACAACAAAGATAATTAAAATGCTCCAAAGTAAACCCCTCGGAGACACAAAGCCGACCCTGGCCTAGGTGATCACTCGCCGGGCGAGGAGGAGTCGCTCCCAAAGAATCCCCCCGATGGTCCAGAGGGAGACGGGCAGAACGAATCCCAGAAGGTCGGCATGAGTGGAGGCACTACCGGCTCCTCGTCATCTGGATATGTCTCCAGATAGCGAACATAATCCTCGTCATCCATTAGGCCTGTAATCGGTCCGTCTAGGTCATCTAGTGGGATGGAGAAAGTCATGCGAAATGTTAACTGCTCGGGGACGGCCACCTCCACGAAAGACCCGTCCTGGGAAGTCACCCTAGCAGTGGTTGGAGGCGGCGGATTGAGTGAAGTTGGAGCGATCTCGCGCCAAGGTGGAGTCGGCGGCGGAAGAACCAAGGAGGTAGCACCAGCTGGAGACCTCTGAGGACGCTTAAAGTGGCGCGGCTGGGCAAAATTCAATACAAGCGCAAGATCTCTTTTCCTAATATCAATTGCGCCGATTTCAAGGCTCATATCTCCATATTAAAAGTTAGCAATTCAAGGAATCTTCCAAGTTCTAAATATCATTAAAGACGACAATTTCTTTATTTAAATATAGGAATTAGAATTTGAGTCCAATTTGGTACAAGATTCCTATTTCATCTCAACTTTGTACCCACTATAAAATCCCTCCTTCCTCAACCCTAATAATGGGGACCGAGAGAATTCAGAGATTCTTGGAGACAAGAAGGAGAGAAATCAAGAGCCACAAGTTGTCTTGGAAAGCAAGAAGAAGACTAGGGAGATTTGGGAAAATCGTCTGGTTAATTCTTGTACTCTTTTGATGATTTGTAATTCTTTATTTATATTTGCTATGTATAATTTAGTCATGCTTGGCTAAATTCTTTAGAGATTCTTGGGTAAAAGTGTTTATGAACCTATGTGCCTGAGCTCTCAGTTTCTTTAATATATTATTATTTGGGTTTAATACTTGTGTTGCAATCGTGATAATATTGTTTGATGCTTGTAATTAATGGCCATAGTTACTAGCTTCATAGCCATGTTTGTGTCACCAATGGGAGTTGGGGCATAAATTAGGGCACACACGATTGCACCTAATGGTTGGTCCTTGGGAAAAGGGGAACTTATTAGGGGAAGTTTATTCTAGATTGTTGCCAATCGGGAGATGGTAGTAATTAGGAATAATTGAATGCAGATCTTTCATCTTATTGGGTGTTTAAGCCATGGGAGTGGAAATTCACTAGGAATAGAGATTACGGGAGTAATTCGATTCCACTTTGCATTCCCACACAAATCTTAATTCCAAACTAAATATTGCAAACGATAATTGGCACTAGGTGATTAAATACTTGAATCCCATGAATCAAGAACAGAATATATATATATATATATATATCTGTTAGTATATGGGTTCTTGCGCATCTTCAAAAACATTACATACAAGATCAGAATTGTGTCTATGAATAGGAATTCCTCACTGTTTTTTTTTTTTTTTTTTTTTTTTTTGGTTTAAATATTTTGGCATAGTAGATTCTGGATTGTAAACTTGTGATGATTTGAAAATGTGTCTTGAACTACAAAATAATTGTGTATGTTTTTACATTAATCATGTTGATGGGGTGTGAACCCCGTGGGCTCGGGGCCTAAGAAGAAAAGAGATAAAGCCCAGACAAAGAAGGGAAGCTCAAGAAGAAAATGGAGCAATCCCAAAAGAGATACGAACCAAACCGAGGAGTCGGTTGGCTCAGGAGTCGGCTCGACCCGGAGGTCGGCACGGGTAGAGGGTCGGACTAACTAGCCGTTATTCCTAATTATCTACCCTTAAAAGTCCTATTTATCTACCTCATCCATAACCCCCCAAATAAAGGCTACCTATTAAGTCTCCCACTTATTACCCCACTAATAACCAAGTTAATACCTATTAACTACCCTACTAAATGGTCCAACGGACACTTTTGGGGATGGGCTAGCTATAAAAGGAGGAGAAGACAAGAAGAAGGGGGGATCATCCACTCATTCACCTACACACATGGGAGGACTCTCCCAAATATTATCCTCCCACTCACCATCCTTTCTCTCATAGAATACTACACCACTCTCCCAAGAGAAGGCAATTTCACATACACAACAAGAAGGTTATCAAGAAGACTCCATTCTACCAAAAGAAGCATACTCCATCTCTATATACAAAATAGCCATACAACATGTACAAAGACACCTACAAAATACATAGTGGAATTAGGCTTGGCACCGCCCAAAAAGGCCCGTGGTTTTCACCTTTCGGTTTCCACGTAAAAATCATCGAGTCATATTTCTTCTATTTTAGTAGCCTTATTATGAAAGGTGTATCCTCCAACCAAAGGTTGTGTTGGACCTCCTTGGGCCCGAAAACCCAAAAACCATCATTGGCACCGTCTGTGGGGATCGTGACAAAAGGTCGCGTTTGCCTCTTTGTCTGAGCAATTTCGGAGAGCGTCCGCTACGGACGGAAGATTGAGAAGGTTCACGGAGTACCGTGGACCAAGAAGAGGACTAGAAGAGAATCAAACAAAGAAAACTGCGTATCGAGGTCTACAAGAGGTAACCATTATCATCTAAAATAGATGTAGTATTTAAATTAAAATTGTTAGCAAAGAGTGGTCGGTCCATCATACTGAAGGACTCGGCCGGGGGAATCAAGAAGTCGGGACGCCGAATAAATGGTTCCCCCATCACGACCTTAACGGTAGACACCGTGGTCACAATCATTTTCTCCGTTTTTCTCTTGATTATATTGAGCCAGATAAAGTAATATGTGGTTAAAAGAGACTCCCCAGTATACACATTCTAACACCATCACAGCAAGAAAATTGAGCCCACCGACTCAGATCAATTGCAAGAAAATCCGAGACCATCATCCATAGAAGTGTGGTCGGCCAGAATCAAAGAAAAAGGAAATTCCTACACAATGGTCATGTTTTACACATGGCATATGGGAGGTGAATATCCACTGTGCGTGGCAATCAAGGAGGAAAAAAAGGATTTTTCTACATTTTCACACATATAACGTATGGAAGCTGCATATCTACAGTATATGACATTCAAAGGAAAAATAGAGTTTTCCACAGGATGCAACCTCAAAAAAAAAAAAAAATGGTATATGGAAAAGTAAAAATCTACTGTACATGTCAATGCTTGGTGGAAGGTGTGGAATTCTCTTTTCCGTTCAAGAATGCATCCCCATATGAAGAGCACCCAGTAGGCAGAGAGCCATCGGCAAAGGAGCAAATAGAGGATGCATCATCAAATTCGAAAGGACACATTTATGCATGAAAATTATTATAAAAGGGAATGCATTTGCGTCATCTCAAGGCACTTACATTTTGGAAATATCCACGCATGCGCTGTATGTAGCAATATTACAGCTAATGGTTTTGTAAAAATGGCCAGAATCTTGGTGGAAAATATGCACGTACAAGCCGCACCCGCACTCGGCATCTCACTCGGCAATTAGCAATCATGCCGCATCTAGTAGGTACGTGACGAGCCTGGGCA